CGAGAGCTGGAGAGCCAAGGGGTGGTCAGCAAGGCCCACTCACCCTTCAACAGCCCCATCTGGCCTGTGTGCAAGTCTGAAGGAGAATGGAGATTGACTGTGGACTATCGTGCTTTGAATGAAGTGACTCCACCGCTGAGCGCTGCCATGCCGGACATGCTGGAGCTCCAGCACGAGCTGGAGTCAAAAGCGGTACGCCACCACTGACATTGCCAATGCCTTCTTCTCCATTCCTCTGGCAGCAGAGTGCAGGCCTCAGTTTGTTTTCACCTGGAGGAGTGTGCAGTACACCTGGAACCGGCTGCCCCAGGGATGGAAGTACAGCCCCACCATCTGCCATGGGTTGATCCAGGCTGCCCTGGAAAAGGGTGAGGCTCCGGAACACCTTCAGTATATTGATATCRTTGTGTGGGGGAACACAGCAGCAAAAGTATTTGAAAAAGGAAAAAAGATCATCCAGATTCTCATGAAAGCCGGTTTTGCAATAAAAAGGAACAAAGGGAAGGGACCTGCTCAAGAGATCCAGTTCCTTGGGGTAAAGTGGCAAGATGGATGGCGTCAGATCCCCACTGTCATGTCAATGTCTCAACCGACCAGCAAAAAGGAGACACAAGCTTTCCTGGGTGCCACAGGCTTTTGGAGGCTGCACATCCCCGAATACAGCCAGATTGTGAACCCACTCTACCTGGTGACCCACAAGAAGAACGATTTCCACCAGGCCCTGAACAGCAGCAAGCCTTCACCCAGATCAAGCAGGAAATCGGTCATGCAGTAGCCCTTGGCCCAGTCAGGACAGGACCAGAAGTGAAGAACGTGCTCTACTCTGCAGCTGGGAGCAATGGTCTGTCCTGGAGCCTTCGGCAGAAGGTGTCTGGTGAGACTCGAGGCCGGCCACTAGGATTCTGGAGCTGAAGYTACCGAGGGTCTGAAGCCAACTACACTCTAACAGAGAGGGAGACCTTGACAGCCTATGAGGGAGTCCAAGCTGCTTCAGAAGTGATAGGCACTGAAGCCCAACTCCTCCTGGCACCCTGAATACCAGTGCTGGGATGGATGTTCAAAGCTATGGTTCCCTCCACCCACCATGCCACCGATGCTACCTGGAGCAAATGGATCTCTCTCATTACTCAGCGTACCCGTATAGGAAACCCGAATCGCCCTGGGATTCTGGAAATAATTACAAATTGGCCTGAAGGTGAAGACTTTGGTCTTGCTGATGAGGAGGAACAAGAACAAGTGACACGTGCTGAGGAAGCTCCACTACACAACCAACTGCCAGCAGAGGACAGAGGCTATGCACTCCTCACTGATGGTTCCTGTTGCATTGTCGGGATGAACTGAAAGTGGAAAGCAGCCGTGTGGAGCCCCACACGACAGGTAGCACAGGCCACAGAAGGAGAAGGTGGATCGAGTCAATTTGCTGAACTCAAAGCCATCCAGCTGGCCCTGGACATTGCTGAGAGGGAAAAGTGGCCAAAGCTCTACCTTTACACCGATTTATGGATGGTAGCCAATGCCCTGTGGGGGTGGCTGGACAGATGGAAAAAGGCCAATTGGCTACGTAGGGGAAAACCAATCTGGGCTGCTGAAGAGTGGAAAGACATTGCTGCCCGGGTGGAGAAGTTACCCGTGAAAGTCCGCCATGTAGATGCCCATATTCCCAAGAGCCGAGCTAATGAGGAGCACCAGAACAACAAGCAGGTAGATCGAGCTGCAAAGATAGAGGTTTCCCAGATTGATCTGGATTGGCAACACAAGGGTGAGTTGTTCCTAGCTTGATGGGCCCATGATGCCTCAGGCAATCAGAGATGCCACTTATAAGTGGGCACGAGACCGAGGGGTGGATCTAACCATGGACAGTATTTCCCAAGTTATCCATGACTGTGAGACATGAGCTGCCATCAAGCAGGCCAAACGGGTGAAGCCCCTATGGTATGGGGGAAGATGGGACACGTACAAGTACAGAGAGGCCTGGCAGGTTGATTACATCACGCTGCCCCAGACCCGTCACAGCAAGCACTATGTACTCACAATGGTAGAAGCCACCACTGGATGGTTGGAGACCTACCTGTGCCTCATGCCACTGCCCGTAGCACCATCTTGGGCCTTGAAACACAGGTCCTTTGGAGGCATGGTACCCCAGAGAGAATTGAGTCTGACAGCGGGACTCATTTCAASAACAGCCTTATAAACACCTGGGCTAGGGAACATGGCATTGAGTGGGTGTACCATATCCCTTACCATGCACCAGTAAGGGATGCACTTTGCTGCCGGCAAAGTGGAACGGTGCAATGGGCTCCTGAAAACCACCTTGAAGGCACTGGGCCGAGGTACTTTCAAAAACTGGGAATAGCACCTAGCAAAGGCTACCTGGATGGTAAACACCAGAGGCTCTACCAACTGAGCAGGCCCTGCCCAATCTGAACCCCTGCATAAAGTAGATGGAGACAGGGTCCCAGCAGTACATCTCAATGGCCTGTTAGGAAAGAATGTCTGGATTAATTCTGCCTCTAGCAAAGACAAACCCATCCGTGGGGTTGCTTTTGCTCAGGAGCTAGGTTGTACATGATGGATAATGCAGGAGGACTCATGTATTCAGGGGGATTTGATTTTGAGTGAAAACCGCTTGTAATGTTTGCTGAATGTCATTATTTTGTATATATGTATATATGTATATATGTATATATTTATGTGTGTCTTTAGAGTTAGAATGTATTAGTTTGAGCTTAAAAGCCAACGGATATGGAACAAGGGGTGAAATGTCTTGGGTTGATTTTGTGCCAATTCTGTTTATGTATTCTTATCCCCGTTGGCTTGTAATGCCCAAAAGGTGCCTGTGCCTTTCACCCCGACTCGGAAGAAGGAGCAGGAGCTGCTGGGAAGGCGGCGCGGSCAGTTTAAAAGCCGGCGCTGCCGCGCAGCCGGAGCTTTTGGAGCTCTGCTCGTTTGCTTTTGCAGCGGCGCTGCGGGAGTCCTTGTTCGCTGTGTGCAGCAGAGTTACATTGTTGCTGTTTTAGCTAGCTCGGGATTGTTAGCTCCGGCAGCTCTCTGTGGACAGACCCCCTCTGCGGCTCCTGCAATTCTGCTCCTGGAAGCAATTCAGTGACCGGTGAGGAGAAGCCGCGCGGCTCCATCTCGTCTGGGATTCCGGAAGCCAAGCCGGCAACAAAAACACACCGAGCCCTCCGTTCCATCCACAGTGAAGAAAGGACTGTAATCCAGTTTTTTTGGTTTTCTTTTTGCCTCTGTTATGGGAGAGGCCACTGGGTTTCTSTTTTTGTTTCTTTTTTTTTCCGGGGACAGGAGCCATTTTGTCCGTGCCACCTGGCGAGCCGGAGGGGGCAGCGGCATTCCTGGGCTTTTAAATATCTAACGGTTACTTTTTATCTGTGTCCTGTGGGCACTGTGTTTTGTTAATAAACTACCTTTTTTCTCTTCACTTTTTGCCTGGCATCTATTTCATATTGGTGGGGAAAAATTATCAAATTTTTTCACTTCAGAGGAAACATTTCTCTGTAACGCTTTTCTCTGAAAACATTGTCTCAAAATCAAGACAAATGGATAAAGCATTTTTTATTAAATACTAAAATAATACACGTGTAGGAGTTACTGGCAATTTAAGCAGCTACAGAAAGTCTTCAGACTTTTCTTCAGCTGACATGATTTGCTAAACCTGGAAAATGCAGTTCAATTCCTACATGTTTCTCCTAATTAGTTAATTAATTAACTGATTATATTTCTGTGAGAATAATTTTKAACTGCTCAGAATGTGTGACAGTCATGGAAGAAAAAGTAGGTCTGACCTATGCCTCCCATAAGTTTTCCAAAACCCATGACATCTAAGAATTTTGTGCTACACATGATCATCTCCTGAACGTCCAGGAAAGCATAGAGGTAGATGGGTCAGCTTTGCCTATTTGTAGGCATCTGTTTTATCTGTCCTCCCTTGAATTTCTGAACTCTTTGGCACTCTGGTGCTATAGATGGAAAGAAGCAGGGATAAAGGCCCTCTCTCAGTTCTTTTGGCATATGTATTGTTAGATTCCCTTCTGAATGCAAATTAGCTGACAAAGAAGGCATGCTATCTGAGCATCCAACGTGCTATTAGCTTATTAAGAGGAGAAAAACAGAAAAAGTTACACAGATCACAGAAGAGCGAAATATGGATATGAGAAACTACCACTGGTGTTCAACCTCTGCGATCCATTTTGTATGTTCATTACCAGCCTGACTCTTGTCTGATCTGGGACTACTCCATCTATTTCTTCATACCTTTCCACAAACACCACAAAGTCTCCTCTGTTACTTTCTTGTCTTTCTTGATCAATTCTGCCTTTGTCCAGACACTTCTATGTGCAAATTATTTTATTCTGAAAACATATTCTGTACATAATTTGAGAACTTTCAGAAGGTGCTGTAACATATATTCCTGTTCCCAGAGAGAATTACATCTTCTGATTGAAGCCGAGCATGATAAATTTATGATAAATGAATTCATCATCATCAGATTCATGATAAATGAATCTTGCCCCACTCAGCTGTATGGCAAATGACATTTACTTCAGGCATCACAAGGCTGCATGTAGACTGAACAGACTGTCGCATGTGTGATTGCCTTCATCTCATCCTTGCTCAGATCAAATCCAAGGCACAAGGCAGAACTGGCTCTGCTGTAACCTTTCCCTTTGCCTTGATAAGAGATAACGGTATGTGCAGGCTACTCAGGCTTGGAAGGCTGCATGAGTCCTTTGCTTTAGAAAACATTTAAACTGCATGACCTGACCATGTTACATTCTCAGTCTGTTATGTTTGTGATAAATCGGGCTATTACACTGATTTCCTTCAGGACTGTAGTACAGCAGACATGACCCGCTACTTAAAACCTCCCTTACTCAAGAAAATGCTGTAATTTTGTCTTCTCATTGATACAAATGAGGATCTAGATTTATTTTTCAGTTTACACATCCATTATGTCCAGAAAAGTTCTGGAGTATACTTACTCTTGTGTTGTTTCTTTCAGCTTTTAGCTCTGAAATCTCTTCCTCTTTTTCAAGCAGCTGTTCCCTGCATGCATTTAATTCTTTTGTCAGTGCAGCAAATTCCTGTAGAATAAAATTATACATTAAGTTACTCAAGATGTAAGCACTAGGATAATCAAATCCATATGCATCCTAGAGTTTGAGGATTTAAATATTTAGAAATCACAAACTAAAATAGCATATTTAAGCTCCAGCATCTACCAAAATTTCAAGTTTAGACATAGATAATAAAAAGTGACTATTGATTTAAGTTCAGAAAAAAAAGAAGATTCAAAATTATGGTAACATCTCCCATACATAAACTGCCAGAACCACACCAGAAGAACAGAACCGACCAATTTCATAGCAACAGAGACACCACATTTCACACAAAAGGAGGTCCAACTCAACATACTCACTTAGAAGCATTCTTGCCACTCTGTAAGGCAACCTTTGCAATATGGCACGTGAGAAAAAAGGTATCCACTAATCAAAATCTATATATCTAAGTAATATATGTGTTGTGAAAAAAATACTTGGTATTGAACTTAAATATTAAAATGTATTTTGGCATTATAGTAAAAGGCTGTGATGACTCAGAACAATATTTTTTTTAGCTGGAATGAGTTTCCTATGAATTAAGAACATAAAAGGAAATTGGATTTTAAGTTGCTCCTGATGTTAAGTTTAAGCATACAACTAATAGATATTCTGAAAAATGTATTTTGTCAAAATTTCTAATAAAATGTCTTGAATTTACCATTGCTTTAACTCTTCAACAATACACATTAATTTTTGTCTACACAAAGGGCAGTCACAGAGTTGTGATTAATTTCAGTAAGGAAAACGTTTTGCTCCACATATATATATTTTTGACAGGCATAAGATATACTAAACTGCAGTGATTAATTTTACCTTTCTAGCAAAAAATGTTACATGTCTAACAAAAACAATAAGGTAAAGGATGAAAAGATTTAAGATTTGTGATCAAGTTTTAAGAAAAAAAAAAGTCTTGAACAGCATTGCTGTTTAACAAAGATGTATACATATTTTAAAATACTAAGTTAATTTTAGTTTGACCAAAACAGTCAGTGCTTAAGAGCCCACCAGCCCAGAAGCAGGCAGTTAGACTGCACTCCAAGAGAAAGCAATTCAAGGTAAAAACATGTCCAGCTGGCCTATCTTATCAGSCAGTTGGATGAAGCTGAGACTAAATGTACTTATTTAAGACCAAAGCTAGCAATGATCTCAAAAGGGCTTGGTTTGCTGCTTCTTGTCAAGCTGCAGAAAGCAGCTTTATCTGAGTTAAATAGCCATTCAACGGGAGTTTGGTGCATATTCCTAGTCTCATTCTATTTTAGTCAAGCTTTTATATAGTTAAAAGTATATGGTATTATATATTAAATATTACTCATATAAATTTCAAGCAATATTCTGACAGCATGTAACTAAGGATGCATTTTTTTTCATTTTTCAGTTGCTGGAACTGGAGGCACAGTAAATGCCCTTGCAAATTTCATGGTTAAGAAAGAAAATGTTGTCCTGATGCCCTCAAAGGATTTTGTTTTAGACACTGGCTATTGATCACATGAACCACATAAAGATGTTTTGTGCCATCGGTCCTAATCAGTATTTACTTTTTACATCCTATTGCTCAGGTACATTTAAGGCTACACAGCATACTTTGATGTGAAAACCCTTAGCTTTGCTTTGACAGTGAGATTTATATTGTAAAACTCTCCCCTCACTTTTCAAGTGTCATTAAAACTTCTGCCTGCAGGTCTTAAACTAGGATTCAGAAACTGCCAGTCCAGCAGTGTTATTCCGTTCAGAATTTTTTTTTTAAATGTCCAGTCCTTAAGGCTGTAAGTAATGTTACATACTGAATGAAAATATTATCGTAATAGAAAGGTAATGATCTCAAGTCACACTGAATCAGAATTTTGAAGCACAAAAGCACACATATACACATATTTCTCTACAGCCAACTGGGTGGAGCCCTTGTTACTAAATTCCATATGTTTTATACATGTGGATTAGTGTCTATAATACTTTCAGTCTCTCAGAATAAACGTTCAGTGTAATCTATGTAGTATGTTTCTGTTGTTTATGTTTCTCAATTCTTTGTATTGTTTCAGCAGGAATTAAAATATACATTTTGGCATATGCTGGAGCACCTGGATGGGTGACAGGCGGTGGAAAGGATAACGTGTCATCTGGTGACTTACAGCTTGAGTTCTGAACTACAGTAAGGCAAAGTAGCCTAGTTACACACATTTGTTGCTTTCCTTGGAAATGGAAAAAGACACATTTATCAAATTGCACATCTTTGTTGTGCCAAGTCAAGCCTACTATCACCACTGTCCCTAGAGCTTTGGTCAGTATAATCTCATATAACAAAGGAATGAAGTTCCTACTACTATGCTGAGCAGAGCTGAGTTAATTCTTCAGAAAATTTTGTCTGGCCATAAGTGCAAGTTTTTATTTGCTTTTAAGCAAATCATTACTCAAACTCCTGCTCCCAGAAAGTCCCATACCWAACGTAATGTTGTTTCAGCCTCAAAATATTTTCAGCTTATATTCATAGTATCTATTGTTATCTGCCTTAGCTGAGACACCCGTGTCTAGTGTTTTAGACCTTGTTACTTGAGTGGCCAACATTGTCCTTTCAAGCCTATTAATTATTCATTTGATGGTGTTCTCTAAAATTTCACTGTGCTTTTATCATACCTGATGTACAAATAATTACAGCAAGCAGTCACCTCTTCATATGTCTGGAGCTCAAGTGGCCAACTACACCTGAGGTACTAGAGACTGCTCGTTCAAGAGATGGGAATTCTCTGAACTGAATGATGACAGAAAGAGGGCTTTGTTCCTTGTGTTTATATCATAAGCCTTTTACAGGCAAAGTCTCAAAGTAAATTGAGTTTTCCCTACGCTTTACAAATTATTATTTCTGTGACATCTGTTTTGATAAATTAATAACTAGGATAACACCTCCCAACTTGTTCTTGAACTAATACTTCAAACACTCAATGAAAAACTTATTTTAAATACAATCTTTTGATCCAAGATATCCGTGTGACCAATACTCCAGGAGACATGTTTTTTCCCACAGTTTCTATGCTAAGCAAAGCATAATTTTGTTTCAACATAACACCCAGTTATGTAATAAGTAACATGTGATGATAATGACCTCTGCTCATGCAATTCCCTCATATAGATATACAGGGATCAAGGGAATACTGTCATCTGGAATTACTGTTTGCAGCAGGAATCTTGCATGGTCAGTGACCACGACATCAGGCCTACTTTGGGAGCCCTGAAGGTAAGATCTGTTGCATAACTAATATGAGTTGACAGACACAACTGCACTCTTAAAGCTCATATAGAAGTTGTGTGGCCACACAAGCTAATTAAGAACTGAAGTGAATTAAAACTCTATGAAAATGATTCAGTTGATTGCACTGGTTTTATACTGTACCATGACATCAAGATGTTAGCAATTTTTTTCACTATAAACAACCTGAGAAAGAGCATCATTTTCCCCATCTCAATAAACACAATCTCAGAGTCTATCTAAACTGCTAATTCTCTTTTTCTCTTAATACTTGGCATATGAAAACAAGTCTTGAAAACCAATTCAACAGAAATCTGTAGCAACCAAAAGGACTACTTGCAGTTACCAATAAGCAAAATTTAAGGACTTGCCCCGGTGAAGCACCTGAAATGCAGTTGGAGCAGAGGCCGGAGGGTGCCTGAGAGAGTGGGATGCTATCGGGACAGGAAGGCTGCGAGCACTGCCAGATGTGCTGGAAGCAGGACTGGGCAGGGGAGGCATACTACAGCACTCTTACCATTACATTTCTGCCTCTAGAAATGCTCAAGAAMTGCTGCTTTCTTTGTTGTTCCCAGGAAAAGACTGCAAGGTTTAATTTTTTATGACCAAATATGCATAAAACATACATAACTACTCTCCAAGTTGAGGGTACGCCACAGAAATTATGAGATCTCATATCTCTGATGAGCAGCTGTTCAGAATAAGACCCACTCCAAATTAAGCTGAAATGAAAACACAGTCTCTCATCATCCCCACAAAAATACTGAAATAAAGAAGAAATTCTGTAATAGTAATAATAAAACCTAAATTAAAAACACATTCAATTTTGGAGATAATGAGGAGATTCAGCTTAAAGTCTCCTTCTCTGGATTTTCCATCATTGAACCACAATTCATTTCAGGAATGAGTGAATGAACTAATATCTGCATGGAAAAAGAATGGTAGGGGGTTATAATTTCTATTTTACATTCAACASAAGCTCTGTTAACCAGTTTGTTTTCCTACAAATTTAGCTGTAATTCATTTAACGCAGGAAACCACTATCTACTAGAATCCCTCAGAGTTTTAACCTTTTATTTATTATGTTTTCACCCAATCCAATTGTATGTGGGCAGGGGAAAAAAGGTATCTTCTTTCTTTTTTCATTATTCCTTCACTGGAAATGTTCTTGGAAATTCTCCATGCCTCTTRAATGATTGAGGATTTATTTTGGCAATTTTGTTAGAACACAGACTTCAACAGGACAAAAAAATTCTGAACGTAATTCACTAAGCATTTTCTTGCTTACAGAGAACTCATATTATTATTCTTTGATTCTAAACTAGGTTGAATGCAAGATTCTCCGCATCCCTGGCAGTGTTCAAGGCCAGGGATGGGGCTTAGAGCAGCCAGTTCTAGTGAAAGGTGTCCTGCCCATGGTAGGAGGGGTGGAATTAAATGATCTTTAAGGTCTCTTCCTGTTCAGAGCATGATTTTGAACTAAGTTTTCCAAATATCTATTTATTCAGCCAGCCCCTTCTGGGTAGAAGGAATCCTCTGAGGCTAATGGGGCCTTTCTGTAGATGGCCTGCTACTGTGATTGAGTAATTTACCATGATGACTGTGGTCCAAGAATAAGAGAGATGTAACTTTTTTTTTTTTTAGTAAATAGAAAAACACTTGAATACCCTTTCAGTACCTGAAAAAAAACCCCCAAAGWCATACACAAAAAGCGAAAAAAACTTGCTTCTAGAAAACAGCC